CAAAAAAAAAAAAAAAAAGAAAAGAGTTATTCTTTTTGAGTTGGGTTCTCACTCTGTTGCCCGGACTGGAGTACAGTGGCACACTCATGGCCACTGCAGCCTTGACCTACTGTGCTCAGGCGATCCTTCTGCCATTAGTCTTTCAAGTAGCTGGAACTACGGGCATGTGCCACCATGCCCAGCTAATTTTTTGATTTATTGTAGAGACAAGGTCTCACCAAGTTGCCCAGGCTGGTCTCGAACTCCTGGGCTCAGGCAATTCTCTTGCCTTGGCCTCCCAAAGTGCTGGGATTACAGGCTTGAGCCACCGTGCCCGGCGCCTTTCTTATGTCTTATTGCTAACATCTTACCTTTGATTTTTATTTTAGGGAATGATATTTCTGTGACCGCTGATAATATCATCAAATTACTAGGCTATTCATGTTATCATTGTTTTCAAATAGCACTTCAATCCCCCCCCCACAAAAAGCACAAACATATACACAAAGATACACATATACAGAGGCACACCAAATTACTGCATATCCTGGTTTCTAGAATGCTTTATAGGTGGAACGGTCTCAGTTGGTAGATCTAGCACCCTGCACTTCAACTGTACAGTTAAGTAATACAGAAAAAGATCTCAATGACAGTACCAAAAACATTCTGTATAGGGAGAAGTTTCACATTTATTATACACTGGCTGGTAGTAAGCTCCCCAGATCATATTTTAATGGGGTTTGGAAATGATGAGCAACTCTTAATTTTATCTTTCAAAAGAGAATTCCAATCAAATGAAAATATTACATAGTAGGGCAGAGTGTTTTCTAGGGAATTGTGCAAGGCTGTAAAGTGTAACTGTGCTACTTTAAGTATGAAAATTGACAGTTGATTTCAAGTTTACTGAATTTAGTAATAAAAAATTGAATTGTATTTCATGTTTTTTAATTTCATTTTTTTCTAGTAATAAGTTTTAAATTTTATTTTACAAAAGTATTGGCCTATGACTTATTGGGAAAACAAAATAAAACAAAACTGGTCCTGTCCCACAGGCAGCTTGAGAAGCACTTTTCACAGGAGAAAAGTGCTTTCACAGGAGAAAAGTACTTCCAGAAAATAATGTAGGTCAGTATCATAAAACAATACTTGGTATTTATTATAGCATACGTTAAAATGCAACCCTTGAAGCCATTTATAAAATGAATTTAGATCACTAGGGCTTAATGTGGTTCCAACTCTTAATACTATTTCACCAATCCTAGAGCCCAGAAATATACATAATAAAACGAGAAAAATTTCAGAGCTCAACTAAATAACTTCTTTACCTCTTCTAGATGTACTCTACCATTCTGACTTATAATATACTTCACTGCAAAAATTAGTTTTCTTTTCTTTTTTTTTCTTTTTAGTTGGAGTCTCACTCCGTTGCCCAGGTTGGAGTGCAGTGGCACAGTCATGGCTACCCCAGTGGCGACCTGCTGGGCCCCAGCGATCCTTCCGCCTCAGCCTTCCAAGTAGCTGGGACTACATGTGTGCGTTACCACGCCTGGCTAACTTTTAAAAATTTATTGTAGAGACGACGTCTCGCCAAGTTGTCTGGGCTGGTCTCAAATCTGTGGGCTCAGGTAATACACTTGCCTTGGCCTCCCAAAGTGCTGGGATTATAGGTTGAGCCACTGAGCCTGGTCAAAAATTAATTTTCTTACCTTTTTTTTTTGAATTGGAGTACTCACTCTGTGGAGTGCAGTGGCATGCTGACAGCCACCGTAGCCTGGACCTACTGGGCTCAGGCGATCTTCTACCTCAGCCTTTCAAGTAGTTGGAACTACAGGCATGCGTCGCCATGTCCAACTAATTTTTTGTTTTAATTGTAGAGATGAGGTCTCACCGAGTTGCGAGGCTGGTCTCGAACCTGTGGGCCCAGGCAATCATCTCACTTCAGCCTCCCAAAGTGCTGGGATTATAGGTGTGAGCCACCGTGCCTAGCTCAAAAATTAGTTTTCTTTAAGAGAAAAAATGACTATAAAAGTGTAATAGAATTTGTTATAAAGGTTTCAGACCAAAAAACCCTGAAGATATAGAAAAAAAAAATCATAATCTCATCTCCAATCATTAGAGTAAATGACTGACAAGACTACCATCAAAGATCCCTTACAAAGAGCCACATGTGTATATACAGAAGAATCAAAAGCCGGTACTCAAACAAATCCTTGCGTATGAATGTGAAAGGAGGCACCTACAAAAACCTAGAAGAAACTTAGCTTATTCTTAGTTTAGTCTTTTTGTCTCAGCATAATCATTAGAGAGTGTTTAGACATTCTACTGTAGGAAGTGGCAGCCTATCCTACCCCCTTGGCAAATCTCCATCAGACACAAGACCAAGACAGCCCAATCTTTCAATTCATGATTCAGCATAATAATCTATAGTAAACTTTCAGGTTACTTGTCAAGGCGGAAGGTCAAAGCCATAGAAATGATAATAAGACCATCTTTGGTCAAGGAGTTTGGGGACTGCAAACATTTAACAAGTCTCTTGCAGGAAAAACCCCTCCGGGCCCAAAACCCAAGTTAACCTAATGAGCCCTTTGTGACCTATGTGACATGGACAGACCCCACCATGGCAGCAATCATGTGAATGACTCACCCATCTGCCGGTTGTTCATCACCTGACATCAGTGACTGTGCCTACCTGCCCCTTCGTGATGACGACGTGAAGCAGACCACCACCCAATCACTTTAATGATCTTCCCCCCATCAAGGGGAATGGTTAAAGGGACTCAACCATAAGCAGCCATTCCCACTGCCTTGCTAGACTCTGGTGTGGCTATGTGCTCTTTGAGCTATGACTGTTGCCATGCTGCCTGGCTTTGGCCCCTTCCCCCACCTTGGGGAGGTGAATCTTCTCTTTGCTCTCTCCAATTTACTTTAAATAAACTATATTTTCTAATTTAAGTTCTGTGCAATTATTTGCATCTTTCATGCAGCATTGGCTCACACCCTAGAACATCCACACCCCCAGTGGGCCTGACCTGGATGCCTCGCTAGGAGAGTATGACCCTAACATACTTTGGGGGCCACCCTGGAATGACTCTAACAGAATGTTTGCAGCAACACTATTAAGTAGCTAAAATGTAGAACAATTTAAACGTCTGTCAATAGATGAATAGATAAACAAAATGTGGTATAGCCATACAATGGAATATTATTCAGCCATAAAAAGGAATGTAGTACAAACTAAATAAACTATATACTAAAACATGAACAAGTCTTGAAAACATTATGCTAAGTGAAAGAAACCAGACACGAAAAGTCACATATTGTATTCTGCTTATATGAATTATCCAGAATAGAAAAATTCATACAAATAGAAAGCAGATAGGTGGTTGTCAGTAGCTTGGGTAAGGGACGGATAGGGAGTAGCTGGTTAACGAGCACAGGGTTTGATTCTGGAGTGATGAAAATAATGTGGAACTAGAAAGAGCTAGCATTTGCACAATATTGTGAATGCATTAAATGTCATTTAATTGTTCATTCTGAAATGGTTAATTTTATGTTATGTAATGGACAACTCAATTTTTAAAAAAAGTGATAGTTATTGATGTGCAGTTATTTCAGTATTGATTGCTTCTCCCATTGTGACTGACCACTAACACAATATGCCTTTACTATTCTCTAAAAATTCATTCCGCACACTTACTAAAACTATGTCAAGATTTATATGTGGGAAAGTTGTTTACTATTAAACAGTATGGATAAAATTGGGGATGAAGAGAACGTATAAAAAGGATGAAAAATAAAAACAATTAATGACAGCAAAAAAAAAGGGAATAGATAAGAGGACACAGAGAAAAAATATGAGGACTAAAAACATAATCAGTACAAGTAGTTTGATTTAAGAGAAAAAAAGATTGCAATTGTCAATGGTGATAGAATATCTGCATATGTAAATCAAATTAGAAAGTAGTGAAAGAAAAAAGAGTCTCTGGGGACACAGAGATGTATTCTCAGTGTACTATAAATTTATAAGGCAAAAACTCTACAATTCCCCCATCCCAAAATCAAAAAGTTCTCCAACCCCTTATTATACATAAATTTAAAGATTAAATTAATAGCTATTCATTACTCACCTTGAGAATCACATACTTATTTAATGCCAATTGACAGTGAACTGTTTTCTAAAACTCCACTTTGTGTTGTCATCAAACTTAATTTTTATTTTTGTTTTTTGTTTGATTTGGAGTTTCACCGTCCTCAAGGTTAGAGGGCAGTGGCATGGGATCAGGTGATCCTTCTACCTTAGCCTTCCAAGTAGCTGGAACCATAGGCATGTGCCATCATGCTCGGCTAATTTTTGGATTTACTGTAGAGACAAGGTCTTGGAAGTTGCCCAGGCTGGTTTTGAACCCCTGAGTTCAGGTAATCCTCTTGCCTCTGCCTCCCAAATTGGTGGGATTACAGGTGTGAGCCAACACATTCAGCTTAATTTATTTATTTATTTATTTGAGTTGGAGTCTCACTCTGTCACCCAGACTGGAGTGCAGTGGCCGCGCCCAGCCACCGCAGCCTCAACCTGCTGGGCTCTGGCGATCCTTCCGCCTCAGCCTTCCAAGTGGCCAGAATTACAGGCATGCGCTACCACGCCCGGCTGATTTTTTGATTTATTGTAGAGATGAGGTCTCGCTGCCCAGGTGGGTCTTGAACCCGCGGGCTCAGGCAATCCACTCACCTCAGCCTTAATTTTTAAAAATATTAATTTTGTTACTTCACATTCATATTACATTTTAAACCTAAAACATTACGTCAGCTTTTTCTAAAAGAACAGTTTTTCTTGCTGTGCGTATCATTGATATATTAAACTAGAATTAATCACTGATAAAACTATACTTACATATTCCTTCACGTTTTTTGTTTTCACAGCTTTGTATGAATAATATGCAGGATAAAGCATTCCAAACACCAGTCTACAAGGAAAAAGAATGAGAAGACCAATCAAGCACAATACTTTTAACAGCTTATGAAAATTTAATCTAATAGAAAAAAGGTGCTTAGAAAACGCATAACTGTAAATTTGTGTAAATGTAAATTCGTGTTTAAACTAAATGTAGTCAAAATAAAAGGACATTTTTAAACAAATGTACTTTTAAACAAATGTGCTTTAATATTCTAGATAGCAGTTTCATAAACTTTTTGATTTTTTGAAAAAAATCGACTTTTTTTTTTTTTGAGTTGGAGTCTCACTCTGTCGTCCAAACTAGAGTGCAGTGGCATGTTCCCGGCCACCGCAGCCTTGACCTGCTGGGCTCCGGAGATCCTTTGCCTCAGCCTTCCAAGTAGCGGAACTACAGGCGCGCACTACCACGCCTGGTTAATTTTTGATTTATTGTAGAGATGAGGTCTCGCCAAGTTGCCACGTTGGGTCTTGAACCCAAGGGCTCAAGCAATCCACTGCTTTGGCTCTCCCAAAGTGCTGGGATTACAGGCTGAGTCACTGAGCCCAGCCTAAGAAATTGACTTTTAAGATCTTTTTCAGGCCGAGCCCAGTGTCTCATGCCTGTAATCCCAGCACTTTGGGAGGCCAAGGTGAGAGGATTGCTTGAGTCCAGGAGTTTGAGACCAGTCTGGGAAACACAGAGAGAGACACTGTTTCTACAAAAAAAATTTAAAAATTAGCTGGGCATGGTGGCGTGTGCCTGTAGTCCCATTCATTCACTTGGGAGGCTGAGGCAGGATTGCCTGAGCCCAGGAGACCAAGGTTGTAGTGAGCCATGATCGCACCACTGAACTTCAGCCTCGGCAACAGAGTAAGACCTGACTCAAAAGAAAAAAAATCATCTTTGTTCTAATCACAAAAAATATTTTGAAGTTCCCTCAAGAACAGTTGGAAAATATAGAAAAATCACCAAAAATAAAATAAAAATAGGCCGGGCTCGGTAAGCTCAGCACTTTGGGAGGCCGAGACAAGTGGGTTGCCTGAGCCCACAGGTTCGAGACCAGCCCAGGCAACTTGGAGAGACCTCGTCACTATAATAAATCAAAAAAATTAGCCAGGCGTGATAGCGCGTGCCTATAGTTCTTGCTACTTGGAAGGCTGAGGTGGAAGGATCGCTGGAGCCCAACGAATTGATGCTGGGGGTGGCCATGAGCATGCCACTGCACTCCAACCTGGGCGACAGAGTGAGAATCAAACTAAAAAAATAAAAATAAAAAATAAAATAAAATAGGCCAGGCTCGGTGGCTCAGCCTGTAATCCTAGCACTTTGGGAGGCCGAGGGGAGTGGATTTCCTGAGCCCGCGGGTTCGAGACCCGCCTGGGCAACTTGACGAGACCTCAACTCTACAACAAATCAAAAAAATTAGCCAGGCGTGGTAGCGTGCGCCTGTAGTTCCAGCTACTTGGAAGGCTGAGGTGGAAGGATCGCCGCAGCCAGCAGGTCGAGGCTGCGGTGGCAGGAAGCGACCACTGCATTCCAGTCTGGGCGACAGAGTGAGACTCCAACTCAAAATAAATAAAATAAATAAATAAATAAATAAAAATAAAAATTGCCCTAATCCCACCAATAAGATATAATCATAGGCAACATATTATATACAAATTCCACTTTTTATCCATGTATAGTATACCTAAAACACACACACACAAACACATAATTTGTGGTAACGAAAACTTGGTTCACTAGTTTGAGAAGCATTGGGTTCTAATTAAAGAGCTGCAAAGCAATACTTCATATATTAATTATGATAGCCATTAGAATAAATTTCCTTAAGCACTTATAAACTGACTTTTGATCACAGAAATGTCAAGATAGTGTACATGGTTTACAACTGATATTTTCATACATCATAGAAGTTTTTGCCCTCAAATGTTATTCTACAATATTATTATTATTATTTTTTTGAGTCAAAGTCTCACTCTGTTGCCCAGGCTGGAGTGCAGTGGCATGCTCACTGCCACTGCAGCACTGACCTGCTGGGCTCAGGTAATCATTCTGCCACAGCTTTCCAAGTAGCTGGAACCACAGGTGTGTGCCACCACACCTGGCTAATTTTTTTTCATTAAGGGTTAAAATGTCATCTTTGGCACAATAATATAATAATAGCAAATTCACAATGCCTTGCCAACCATGGCCTTGAGGGTATGCTAAGTACATCCCATATATTAATTAATTTAATCCCTACAACAACATTCCAAAGTAGGAAATAGGATTATTTCCATCATAGATTTTTTAAAAAGTGGCACAGAGAGGTAAAATGACTTCTCAGGGTCATTTTGCTGGGACCTGGATCCAGGCTGCCTGACTCTAGAACTGGTTAATAATCTATTACACCTTCTAGAGAGAGATGTGAGGAAGTGCTGAATGTGGGGTCCAAGAATGGCCACCACTTTCCTTGTTCTCATCGCAATCATGACAAAAAATTTAGGCCCTTATAAATAGCTAAGGGCTAATAAATGACCTATTTAGTTGGTTTTTTTTTTTTTTTTTTTTTGAGTTGGAGTCACACTCTTGTCGCCCAGGCTGGAGCGCAGTGGCATGCTCACTGCCACCAGAGCCTTGACCTGCTGGGTTCAGGCGATCCTTCTGCCTCAGGCTTCCAAGTAGCTGGAACTATAGGCACATGCCACCATGCCCAGCTAATTGTTTTAATTTATTGTATAGATGAGGTCTTGCCAAGTTGCCCAGGCTGGTCTCAAATCCGTGGGCTCAGGCAATCCTCTCATCTCAGCCTCCCAAAGTTCTGGGATTACAGGCATGAGTCACTGCGCCTGGTCAATTTTTTTTTTTATTGTAGAGATAAGGTCTCACCAAGTTCACCAGGCTGGCCTTGAACCCCTGGGCTCAGGCAATCCTCTTGCCTCTGCCTCCCAAAGTGCTGGGATTACAGGCGAGAGCCACTATGTCTGGCCTATAGTAAATATTCTTAGTATATACATTGCATTACACGTTGAGATTCCCATAGTTTAAATAATCCTGTATTTATAAGCTTTTGGTTAATTTCTGAGTTTTTGCTATTGCACATAACACTGTAAAACACATTTTTGTCAATACCTATATTCACTTCCTGGTTGTAATATTGCTGCTTCAAAGAGTACACACATTTTTACCTATTATGAAAATGCCCTCCAGAAAGGCTGTTCCATTTTACATTCCTATATGTTGCAAATCATAGATATCATCATTAGGAAAAAAAGCGTGCTAGTGAAATAGGAGAACAACAACCTTACAACAATTTGAATGTACCTTTAAAAATACCAATAATTCACTGGTCTTTTGAATAATGAGATGTAATAGGCTTTTGTCTATTCTACTGTTTTAAATGGCATTTTTATATGAGGATAATTTTAGTTTTACAGGAGAGTTAAGAAGATAGCATAGATAGTTCCCATATACCTCATGCCCAGTTTCCCCATTGTTAACATTTTGCACTGTCATAATCAATGTATCAATACGGATTCTTGTTTATGAACTAAACTCTAAATTCAAATTTCCTTAGTTCTTAACCTAGTATCTTTTTTCTGTTCCAGGACCTGATCCAGGATGGCATATTACATCTAGGTGCCTTCTTAGCTCACTTGGCTATTTCTCAAACGTTCCTTGTTTTTGATCACCCTGACAGTTTTCTGGAGTACTTGTCATCAAGTACACGGTAGGTGTATTTAGGTATAGGTTTTTAGGAACACTATCACAGAGGACAAGTACCATTCTTACCACATTCTGTCAAGAAGACATACTATCAACATGACTTGTCACTGCTGTTGACCTTGACTGACCACTGCTAAGGTAGTACTTTGCCAGAGTTTGTCATTGTAAAGTTACTCTTTTATTCCCCCGATTTCAGTACTATATTCTTTGGAAATAAGTCACTGCACAGCACACTTGAGTGTGGAGTTATGCTCTACCTCCTTGAGAACTGAGTGTCTACATCAATTATCTGAAATTCTTCTGCATGGGAGGCTTGTTTATTCTCCCCTAGTATCCGTATGTATTCATGAATATTCATTTTTTACTTTGGGTTATAATTCAATACTACTTTATTTTGTTGCTGAAAGTTTATCAACCAGGCTGGAGTACAGTGGCACCATCGTAGCCTCACTGCAGTCCTAACTCATTGAGAGGCTAAAGTGGGAAGATCACTCAAGGCTCAGCCTCTCAATTAGTTAGGATTATAGGCCTGCACTACCACATTTGGTTAATTTTTAAATTTTTTGTAGAAACGGGTTCTCACTATGTTGGCTGGGCTGGTCTCAAACTTCTGACCTTAAATTATTCTCCCGGCCGGGCTCAGTGGCTCAGCCTGAAATCCCGTGCCTTTGGGAGGCTGAGGTGAGTTGATTGCCTGAGCCCGCAGGTTCGAGACCCGCCTGGGCAGCGAGACCTCATCTCTACAATAAATCAAAAAATCAGCCGGGCGTGGTAGCGCATGCCTGTAATTCCGTCTACTTGGAAGGTTGAGGCGGAAAGATCGACGGAGCCCAGCAGGTCGAGGCTGCGGTGGCCAGGAGCGGCCACTGCACTCCAGTCTGGGCGACAGAGTGAGATTCCAACTCAAAAAAAAAAAAAAAAATTATTCTCCCAAAGTGCTAGGATCACAGGTGTGAGCCCCTACACGTGGGCCTGTTTTTGTAGGTTATTGTTAACTTTTGATTTTGTTTATAAATTTTGCTAAATGCCTGCATATTGTATTAGTTTGCCAGGTCTAATATAACAAAATTCACATGGGGGTGGCTTAAGCAACAGAAATTTATTTTTTTACAGTCCTGGAGGCTAGAAGTCCAAGATCAAGGTGTCTGCAGGTCTGGAATCTTCTTGTATCCTCTGTGTGTGTCCTAATATCTTATTAACACACCAACATATTGGATTAAGACTCACTCTACAGAGCCTCATTTTAACTTAAGGCCTTATTTCTAAAGGACTTTCTTACCCTGGAGTAACTATTTCCACCTCTCTATATTTTTGGTTCCTTTAGAATTTATTTATTTATCTTGTGGTGGGGAGGGCAGTAAATCCCTGATGACTTCCTTATCCATTGG